ATAGTTTACTCGATTTTGAAAACATTGCAGGGGGACACCTTGAAGGATGTTACACATATAATAGTCGATGAAGTGCATGAGCGGTCTCTTAATGTGATTATTCATTAATTCAGTCTTATATTTCATGTCAAAATAAATTTATTTTGCCATCATTGTTAAGCAAAGTAGAGACACATTTAAAGGTTTTGCTTGAGAATCCATGCAAGATTATCTAGTGAATCATCAGAGTACAAATATTTGGTAGCAACGAAAACCAATTTTAGAGCATTAGTTCTATAATACACACTTAGAATGACACTCCAGTACAATGCTACTAATGCAGAAGACTGTGCACAGTTATTCATTTACAATGGTAAAATCCAAACATTAATATATCATATTGCAAGTTAAACTATTTCTCTTATCTCCATTTCAGGGTGATTTTCTTCTCATCATTTTGAAGAGACTGATTGAGAAGCAATCCTGCTTAATGATAAGTAAACATTATATGTATTCATGTGTCTGATGGTCTTTCAGGTCAGCTACTGTTGATGCAAATCAGTTCTCAAGATATTTTGGTCAATGTCCTGTAGTTACGGCTCAAGGACGATTACACCCAGTTACTACGTACTTTCTGGAGGAGATTTATGAGAGTATTAACTATTCGCTCGCTCCCGATTCTCCTGCTGCGCTAAGATCTGATACATCCAATAGAGATGAGGTATACATTTTGTTACCAAAAGTATCATTTGTTATATTTATTGATCCCCTTTCTTACTTTGATCAGCAACTTCCATGTTTTTCTAGCATTTCTTTCATTCACTCAAAATTATGGAGCCCGCAGTGTCGACCTCTTGCACTTCTTGATTTATCAATTTTCTTCTTTTTGTTTGTCTGAGAATTCCTACCTAGGATCATTTCATTCATTTAGGTAAACACAATTTGCACATCCAAAATCTAAGTCCGGAACAAAGGGCTTGTATGGACTTGCCTTTGCACTTCTGTGAGGTCTACTATAGAGAATTTCATTTAGATTGCATTGTTGAAGCTTTGGATATGGGTAGTTAATACATTGGACAACGTCTGCAGCTTGGTTCTGTAAAGATCCGTAGGGGAAAAAAGAATCTTATGTTGGCTGGCTGGGGCGACAATTATTTGGTGTCAGAAGACTGTCTCAACTCATCTTATGTTTCCAGTAGTTACGAAAATTACTGTGGTCGTACGAGAAAAAATCTGGTACTTTGCCTTTCCAATTTGAGGTTTTCTTTCTCTTATTCACCTAGTTGTCCTGAGTCCAAATACCTTGTGACTGCTGTGTGCAGGAAAGGTTAAATGAGAATGTTATTGACTACGAGCTTCTTGAAGAGCTGATATGCCACATTGATGACACTTCTGAGGAAGGAGCAATTCTTGTGTTTATGCCTGTAAGAGATCGTTCGTGTTAATCGAGAATCAATTTTTCTTTTCTCTTGATTTAGTTTGATATTTTTGTTTGTTAATAACAGGGAATGTCAGAAATTAACATGTTACGCAATAGGCTAGCTGCTTCCCGTCGTTTTCGTGGACCCTCTGCATATTGGCTTCTTCCTCTACATTCTTCCATTGCACCTAAAGAACAGAAAAAGGTGTTTCTGCATCCCCCTAAAGGTAATTTCATATGACATCTACATATTCTGTTACGTTTTCAAACTGTGTTAGCACTCACTTTTACTTCCGTTTGTTCCATACGAGCAAATTTATTGGCTTTATCTTTAGTGCCTTGCTTTTGCATTTTTCCTATTGGACGATAATCTAAAGTTGTTAAGGGCTCTAGGCTTATCATGTCATTAGACTTACTATCTCGTCTCGTGCAACTGTTTTGTTTCCATAGTTATCCACTACTAAGTGAAATTAAGTGATATCACTTGTGGTTAAAAGTAAGTATGTTCTATCAACAACTTTTTTCCTTAACATCTTCAGATGGACAACAAAAAATGCATTTCCATTAGATGTATTTTGGTCTTCTTGAAAGTTTCTTTTGTTTTTAATGTGGATTTATTTCGTAAAAACTTATAAAATGATTTACAGAGAGCAGTTCAATTCATTTATGACTTGATGAGAGGAACATTTATAAAACTTGAGAAGATATAGTTGAAAGAAATTCATGAAATATAATGTGCTGAATCCCTTTTTGTGAAAGATCTTTTCCATAAATTATACTGACGCCTGCAAAGGCGATCTGATTCATAGGTTATTATAGCTACAAATATTGCAGAGACCAGTATAACAATTGATGATGTGGTGTATGTGATTGACAGTGGCCAACACAAGGAAAATCGCTATAATCCACAGAAGGTATTCCCAGTGCTAGTGAATCAGTACTAATCAAATGTTATTATGCTCGTTTCCTTTTTAAGTACTTTGGCAAAGTATCATTTTTCTCAAAACTTAATCTGCAACTAACACTCTTTACAAAAAAAATCTCAGGGAACTAACATTTTTCATGGACAAAATACCGATTTACTCTAAATTGGTGTACTTATATCAATTTTTGTAAGTTAAGTTCATGATAAATGAATATAGGTTTACTGATATATGTACTGTAAAAGTGTTACTTTCTGATTAGAACTTAAAATTGCAATTGGCAGGAAAAAACGTGATAGCTCTTGCACAAAAAAATCCTTCATGTTTTCTCCTTTAAGCTGAATAACTTTTGCTGAAAAGTGAAATGTATTGACCAATGCACACATTTTTAGTGATGGTTACAAATTCGCGTTCCTTGCGAAACCATTTGATAAGATTGATGTCCACTATTTGATTAATGTTTACAATAATTTCATGAACATTATTGATGCATATTGTGGTCTCATGATTATTGTTTTTTTTTTTCGTACCTCTGAGATGTCACTTTGGTGCTCAATTATTTTATCATCACAGAAATTGTCAAGCATGGTGGAAGATTGGATATCTAAAGCAAATGCAAGACAAAGAACGGGAAGAGCTGGACATTGCTATTCATTGTACACACGCCATAGGTTCGAGAAGCTCATGCATCCCTATCAGGTGATTTCTTTTAGACGGTTTTTTCATGGTTTCTTGATCACTTGGTTTTTGGCTCTAAACTCATCGGTTCCATCTTGATGTCTAGGTTCCTGAGATGCTGCGGGTGTCTTTAGTAGAGTTGTGTTTACAAATCAAATTTCTTGGCTTGGGTCACATTAAGCCTTTTCTGTCCAAGGCAAGTGACACCAAATTTTATAGTGCAAACGAACTAACATTATCATCGTCTTACTCTTTTTTTTACTTACTGTCTTTAGGCTTTGGAACCTCCAAGTGAAGGCGCAATAAACTCTGCAATAGCATTGTTGCGCAAGGTACCATGTACTTGTTGTGGATAGAAGTATTTATTTTGTAAGAGTTATTACTTCCTGATACATCCAAAAGTTATGAGACCTTTTACTTGGACATCTCGCAGATATGTTGATGCGGGCTGTTGTCCTGCACTGTGGCTAACTAATAGCCTTTCCATTGTACCTTCATTTAGCTTGTTACACTTAAAACTCTTCATACTCTGTGTTTTCCCAACCACTAATTTTAGTATCAATTCGTTGAAAAACTATCTGTGTATATACCATCTAGAGTCTGCTGTGCTGATTCTTCTTTCATGAACCCTGTCGTCTTTAGGTCGGTGATGTTCAAGGTGACGAAGAGTTGACACCACTTGGGCATCATTTAGCAAAACTTCCTGTTGATGTATTGATTGGAAAGGTTTGCTTCTCTAAGATCATTTCTGCACTAAAAGAGGCCTCGGTCACTGCCTTTCAAACTTATGTTTCACTCTTCTCCTCGCAGCGTCTAGCCTCATACGTTTAATTATTTTTTTTTGCAGATGCTGTTATGTGGTGGCATTTTTGGTTGCTTATCACCTATTCTCTCGATTGCTGCTTTCTTGAGCTACAAATCACCGTTTTTAAATCCCAAAGATGAGGTACATTTTAACTTTCTCAGAGCTTGGCGGGTTTGTGCAACGAGGTTGTCAACTAACTTAATGTTTTGGTATTTTTTTTGTCTTAGAAGCAAAATATGCATAGAGTGAAACTTGCTCTTTTGTCTGATAAGCTGGAGAGTTCAAGTAATTTAAACAACAATGAAAGACAATCTGATCACCTCCTTATGATGGTTGCATATGAAAAATGGGTGAAGATTTTGCAAGAGGTATGTGATAAAAGGCTATCTCAAGCTGCCCCTTACAGTTTCACTTCGTTCTATATAAATGGATTATTTATCTCTTAGTGACAAAAACTGAGCCAACCCATTCTTAGAGGAGCTGATTACATGGCAATTATAAGGCTGTCTTATAAGGATATTTATAAATCTGTGCGAGAAAATTTTGTTCTATAGAATCAGTATCTGATTCAGCATCGCTCGTTATATCTTGACTACTATCTCTGAAAGATAGTCGAATATCTATGGAAATCTATTTAACTTGAAAAATGTGTTGTATCTTAATAGCTTTTACTGTGTATTACTTCACGTCACAGCCAAAAAGTAGTTTAAGAACATCCTACTGTTGGAAAATTTCTTAGATAAATTAATTATAAAACAAGTTATAATTGACAGACAATACATGAGAATGAAATATTGTAAAGAAACGTATCTTTCTAAGTCTCGTGTTATACCTGATTCATTA